AGGAGTTTACCATTATCGTTATAGTCAGATTTTTTTTTTCATTTGAAAACAAAAGCCTCGGCGACTAAGGGCAATTGACTACAATAAATAGGTAGTCAGAATTATTGTCAGTTATAACTCGACTGTCAATTATTCATCACGTGGAAGTGTGCAAAGCGTATATGTTCCGTATATATTCGTTATTACGTTCCAGATTTATTTAGAATTTATAACAAATAAAATTACCTTATTTTTCCTTTTTGCTCATAAAACAAATCTCTTCCTAAAGACCTAAATTCTCCTGGCACCTGGGACTACAAATATCAATTGTAGCTCACTTGTTTGAAAAGGTGGGCGACCTCTGGCCTATGACCTACCTAGCTTACATAATACTTGATGAAGATACTTTTACTCTTTTTGAGTTTTATATTAGTTTTTTGTTCAGTAGAGAGGCCAATGCAATCATATTGCAATATTGCACTATTTGCATTCATATAGATTATTGACCAATACCTTAACTATAGAAATTAGAAATTGTATATAATAAATATGCAATGCACACAGTAGGTATAATGTAGTTTTGATTTATAATTTTTTATATTACCTATTTAACAACAAAAACATGCCATGACGTGTAGATTGTAGGTAAATGTATATGTATATTATAAATTAATTATTATTATTATATTATGACTTAGTATAGGTATATATATATACCAATGTCTTATAAATTATACTATTATTATTTAAATTATTAGTAATATTATAATTGCATATTTATTGCGCGTTACTGTGTTATGACTTATGTATATGCATGTGTGTATGGAATATGTATATAGTGCTTTGTGTACCTACTGTCCAGTCTTGTTCAGTATTCAAATACTTTTTGACCAATGTATTTTAAATACTTAAAAGTACTTTTTATTTGTATTTTTATTCTAGAATACTAAATACCTACTCTTGTAATATATAATATTATAATGTAAGCATATTATATATGTGTATTATATACGTATATGATTACGGAAGTTAATTAGTAAATTTAATTCAATACCTATAGCTGCCTACATAGGTACACCAATAGTAGGTATATAATATTGATAAATTGATGGAGGGACACTAAAAAACACAGTGTATTTTTTTTAGAAATATTTAGAATATAATATGTTTTAACTTTTTACATACCTACCTATAACAATGCCATATTAACATTAAAGCAAGTGTCGCTCTAAATGTACCTACTATAGCGTGAAGGTAAATAGCATATATATATATATATATATGTTTAATAGTTTATGGAATTTAGTTTAGGATACCTAGCTTTTATTGACACACCATAAGTTTATTGTATTGGTTAAAAGTACCTAGGTATAATATATTATAAATAAAGATATAAACGTATAATAATAAATTAGCATTAGTCATTAGTAAAGATCGGATTTATATGTTTTTACATATCGTTACTGGGTCTATGCAGTCTTATGAGAGTAAAAAATGTGGACGATTCGTTCAATTCTGAATGCGTAGAAAAAAGTTTTTTTTGCATATTTGAGAATATTTCATGGGTTGGAGAATATTTAACCCATTTAGCATATTTCGTAAATCGTGAGCAAAAATTTGTATTTATTTTTATTAATTTGAATATTACGGTACTCTGAAAATTTTTTTTGACCATTTACAATTTTTTTTTTTTCATTTTGATAAAAATAAAACACGCAGTATTATCAAGGTTTATCTATGTATATCTACTGATAAGATCAACTTATAAGTTTATCAAATATTCAAATATCAAAATTTTGTTTTTGTGTTTTAATATTAATTATTATACTGTTGTATTTATATTATATTCTAACTTCTTACTCTTGCTAAAGTGCAATACTATTCCATGAGGTATAATATGCAACTCTTAATACCTAATTAATATCTCACTATAAAAATATAGTTGAAAATAAAATTTTAAAAAATAAATGCATATTAAAGCATATAATGATGTTTTTTGATTATTTTTGCATATTTTTTAAATTTTTGAGAGAATATAATGAGAATATTTGAAGGTTTTTTAGAGAATATTAGCATCATATTTTGGGTATTTTAAGAGAATATAAATCCGGTCTTTAGTCATTAGCCTGTAAAATATGTAAGAATTATATGTATATAGATAGTTAATTATTTTTATCATATAATACTACCTAACAAATGAGCGCCATGAACTCTTATATATTATATAGGTAGGTAAAATGTTTATAAAATGAGTTATTTAGTTATACTTTATCCGGAGTGACGTATTTAGACATACCCGAGGAAAAATAGATTTTTCTGAGGGAAATAATTGGGTACAAATTCTGAAAATGGTTTTTCAATACGGTACAAATTATAGTACAATTAATGGAAGAAACATTTTTTAATAAAATGCATTATTCAGTTATGGTAGTGCTGGGGTAACGTTACCCTGGCATCCCAGCGGAAAATTTGACTTTTCTTTTGGAAATATTTAGGTACAAATTCTTAAATTGTTGGTACAAATTGGTACAAATTATAGTACAATTAATGGTTAAAAAAAAAAATTCGAACAATGGGGTGCCAGGGTTACCCACCTCGTAGCTTACTGTTGCTTACTAAAATACGAACAAATTATTGTTCTACGTTTTTTAGACCAATAAGGACAAGTTGAGGATGTCAAGTATTCTTAACAGCAAGAAGAACTCTATCACCTCGAGAGAAAATACTAGAATATATATTTCTGTCACATCTAAAGATAGTGTAACCGGAAATATTAAGCTTGGAGCTGATTATTTCATCAGAGAGCCATATCTCCATCATCCATAAGTAAGAAAATATCATAGGATAATAAAATAAAGTTTGAATGTAAATTGAATAATTTTTATCTAAGGTCTCTAACATGTTGGTAATATAAATTTAAAGTACACACATTATTATTTGAGGATACATTGTTGCTTTTGATACATATTTTATTTTTAAAAGAAAGAAACTCTTGTACAAAGTTATTCATAGAAGATTTCAGATTATTTTAAATAGTTCAATTGACGATTACCGAAAAGACTGTATGATGACAGTCCTTACTCCTTGGCTATATATTAATCCCTACAGGGAATTAGTTTTTGACTGCGAAGACGATAGGCGATGTGAGAACCTACAGGGAACACCAAAATCATTATGGACTAGAAATGAACTCCAGCCCTAAACCTTGTGGTCACCTTTCTTCCTGCGAGTTTATTATACATAATGAACTATGTATGATGGCATTAAACCAATTTTTGTATTATATTCCTCAAAGATGGTGACGATCTTTTATTGGTTTGGATAATACTATGGTAATGAGAAAGTGAAAAACAGCGAAAGACTAGCTCCATTTTTTGTCAGAGTAAAGGTCGCCGGGTGAGGAGGATATGTATCGCGATGTGTGCATCATACCTAGCTTATTATATCATGGATACTGCTGATACAGAACTTATAAAAAATAAAAACTTTGTAATTGTATAACAAACTGTATGTACCGTCTTTCCGTGTACCCGTCACCCGAGTATTTTACTTATTTATTTTTGTGTCAACCGCTCCAATCTAACACTGGTTATTTGTGAATTTAAAGCCAAAATAACAAAATAATTTAGTGCTCAACATACCATACATCAAATTATAATGCTACAAATAAGACTTTCTAAACTATACAGAAAAGTGGATCAATAAAACTTAAAATAAATAACATAATTATTTACTATAAAATACTAATAAGTGTATAAAAACAATAATTTGAAGTAAATATTATATATTTTCTACAACAAATTTTTTTTTAGTTTTGAAAAAAGACCCTTCACTCGATATTTCAGCATATATTTCTAAATGAGAAAAATTAGTCAACTATTTTAAATTAACAGCTGAAATAATCAATAAAAGCGCATTAATGACTTACCAAATCAGCATTTTAACAGTGCAGGGGATTCAATCCAATTTGGGAATAGTACATACTGTGAAGGAGGATTATCGTTTGCTAAAATAAAAATAATAACATTGAAGTGAAAAATATCTACATTTACAGTAGTATTTAAGAATACATTTGGTTACCTACAAAAAAAAAAACAGTAACTAGTCATATACGAAGATAAGTATAATTTTGGCAATTAAAGTAAAACTTAAAACTATAGGTATATTCTACTAATGTATGTAAGTTTACAATTATTATAGTGTTATTCTATTCTATATGATGTATTATTCATTACATTTTCAATACAACTTCTTTATTAATAATGTATTTAAAATAATTTTTAGAAGTGGCTTTGTCAGTATGTATGTCTGTTAATTGTTATCTTTTCCACCTTGTATGAATAAATACCCCGATGGTGATCTACGTAAATATTTGCATACACAGCACACTCCATGTCACTATAAATTAAAAATATTTGTATTATCATTTTAGGAAAGTATAAACCATAGTTAATTGTTGTCTTTATGTTACGTTTAATTCGTTAAGCTATATTCTTTTGAGTCTCTAAAAGATTAACATGGCGAAATGACTTGCATAATTAACTGAATATTATGCAATATCTGCAGACATGGTGTCGTACTTGAGGTAAAAACAATAAACATCCTACTGCTTGTGGATATGGAAATAATTGTTTTGTTTCGTCTAATATAACGTAGATATTAATTATTATTATAGGTCCAAATTGTCTCGACTATTAACAACTTAATTATTGGTATTGATAATTTAATTTCATTGATAATATATTAAAATGTCGGAATTGATATGATTAATAAACATATTAATCAACTTATTTAGTTCAACCCAACATACTTAGTGATAATTCATATTTAATTTATAAGCTGAAAATACTTTATGATTCTCAGTTTCAATGTATTTAATATTTCTCCCCCCTTCAAATTATGGTATTATAATAATTGGAATAATATTATAATATTGAATAATTTTGCAAATAATTATATTTCTATATTTTACAATCTAGATAGGAACTACGGAGATAAACTGATATAATATTCACTTGATTTTATTCTCTTTTTGCCAAGTTTTGAAAAAAAGAATATGTGTCATTGTTTAGTTTCAATATCATTGGGTGACTTTTCATTTGTACCAATGTTATAGTTCCACTAATCAACAATACAAGTACCTGTAAACAAACAAACAAAATTGGAAATTAAGTATAGTAGGTACCTATACACTAATACACACAAAAAGAAAACAAAGAACGTAATAAAAAATACATTTGTCAGACATTTTTGATTATTAACACATTAGAATCTAATGATCAGATCAATGAGTCCATCATAGTTTCATAACTCAATAGTGTAGGTCAAAATATAATATTATTACGGGAAATATTCCGTTAAGATAAAGAGATTAAGAAACAGTGGTTCAAGTAGGTAAACAACGATTGTATATCAAACGAAATAGAAATATACAATGATTGGTGATCAAAAAATAAACAATAGGTACTTACAGATGTAACGAGATTTAAATTGATATCAAAAAATCCAAATGCCGAAATTTGGTCCGAATAGCAAACTGATATTTGATTCATAAACATTTTAATCTGAATAATAAATATTAATAATTATGAAATAATTACTGTAATAAAATAGAAACTAATAATAAATAAATAATAATACAAAATACAAAATATTTTACTTGTCGCTTTATGTCCAAGTGTAAAATTGAAATTCGGTATAATCGTAGATATGATATCATCTCCAATCTCTGTTCAAATATGTTGAATTTTAAAATATATATCTATGATCTGGTTAAAAATGTATTCCATTGCATTATAATTATAGTTGTTTATAGAAAATAATATATACAAACCTAAGCCTAATCTACCCATACTGCTATGCAGATTCCTACAGTTTTGTTATACGATCTTAATATGATTTTTGTCACATATTATTAATAATATTTTTATTCTTACTACAGGTGGAAAACTAATCCATAACAATATTAAGTATATAAAATTAAATTAAAAAGGTGGGCAAGTGGGTGTCACTCTGTGTATAGTAGGTTACAAGTGAGTCAATGTAATAGATGGACTGTGTTATATTTGAATTCAATGATAAAATAATATCATTGTATAAGGAAAACGATTCTGAGCGAGATGGTCAGTCATATTACTAAATATTTATTATTTGATTATATTATTGTGAATAAAGTAGTTTATATATTATAACCTGTTAACCTATTAACCAGGGGCGTCATTTGGGGGGGTGCAGGGTGTACATTTGCACCAACATTTTTTATAAACGCCTTCTTTGGCCTGCAAACAATAAATATAAGCGCCGATATACCTAAGTGTTATATATTAATATATTATATATATTTTATATTTTTTCAGTATTTAAAAAAATAATAATAAATATTATAGGTACTAATGGGTTTTATTTCCAAAAATGATCGATGTGGTTGTGTGGTTATATCATTGACATAATATAAAATAATAATAATATAATTATTTCTATGGGTTATATATATTTTTTATTCTCTACCATGATATTATTACCATCGAATATATAAATATCTGTGGGTATAAATGTATAATATTATGCTGGTATAGATTTCTTATCAGTTATCACCCTCCGGTATCTCCCTGCTCGTTATAATAAGAAAACAACATGATATATAATTCTCATTAAAAGGGAAAAAATTGTCTAAAAATAGCAACCACAGAATATTATTTGTTTACATTTTTAACCTTGTCACTTACTTTCTACGGTAGAAATGATATTCTATGGTAGAAATTCTACCACCAATTTTAGTTAGTACGTCGAGAGTACGATTGTTCTAGTCGTGATCGAGAAAGAATAGTGAAATACTTAATAATATATATTATATAATAATAATAAATTAAATTAAAATTTAGTTAAATTTATTAATTTAAAGTTAAATTAAAATTGATGTGGAAAAATTTAGAAATATAAATTAAGTATATTGTGCCATTTTGAACAAGGTAACCCATAAAACAAATTTCAGGTTTAGGCGTTTAGCTATATTATTTATTTTGAGTGTGCAGGGAGAAAAAATGTATAGGTTAGGTTCGATTAAGTACTATTAAGGTGCTTTAAATCCATAAATGTGCTTACCAAATACAACTGGCATCCACAATATAATATAAACTTATTAAAAGTACCTACACATAGTTCTTCGAATATAGTAATAATATTGTGAAGTTTTCATACTAATATAAGTGACGTTTTAAATACATTTTACCAATATTCTACAGTTTTTGTCCCCACTAGACCCCCCCCCCCCCACTAAAGAAAAAAAAGTTTTCTATGTGGCCTGGTAACAATTTGAATGGCCTGCAAACATTTTCGCACCAACAAAAAAAAAGTTGAAATGACGCCCCTGCTATTAACCTTGTTTTAAATTTTTAATCCTTAGCTATAAAAGTAGAACATTTAATACATTTCATTTTTAACTACAAAATAATTATTAAAATTTGTCAAAATTCGAACTTTAAATGCTTATAAAAAAAAAATTGTGCCTATTTATTAATATTTTTCAACTGCTATTTTAACAATAAGTACACCAGGAGCCTTGTATTGGATTTTACCTAACAAATACAATTTTATTGATATTTATAGAAAAAAAAAATTGAAAAAATTGAAAACTGACAAAGAGACAATGTCCGTTAACAGCTCAAAAAGAGTAAAAATATTTTCAAAATATTATGGTGTATAGAAAATAAAAATATAAACATTCAGTAAATTTTCATGTATATACAGTTATTTGTTTTTGAATTACAGTAAAATATCAAAATCTCTACATGAGAAATCGAATGAATATAGAATGTAATTTTATTTGCTTGTAGAGATTTTTTTTTGATAAAGGAAGATAATTTTATGAATAATCTTGTATCACATTTTCAAATCTTAGATTTAAAAAGAAAAATTTTTATGAATTCTCAACCAAAGTAGTTTGCTAATTTTCGTGATTTTTCGGTATCTTGTCAAGATTTGAATTTTGAATGCTTATAAATAAAAACTGTGGATAAGGATTTTTAATATTTTTCAAATATCATTGTAACAATATAGTAGGAGCTTTGTATTACATCTTAAAGGTTTTTTAGGCAACAAATAAAGTTTTGTTGATATTCATAGAACAAAAGATATTATTTTATATTTTTAAATATTTATACAGATTCTCAAACAAAGTTTATGGCTTATAAATAATGTAATTATTTTTATTTATATCATTATTATTATTATTATTATTATTATTATTTTCCTAGTGCCCAGCTAAAATATACCTAAATTTAAAACCATTTAAAAAATAAATGTATTTTTTTTTCTAGATAAAAAGTATTTATCTTTATCTTTATCTTGATAAATATGAGTTAAGTTATCTATCATATCTATCTAGTATCTAGATACATTTGAGTTGCATTATCTTTATCTTTATTTAGATAAAAAAGTACTTATCTAATCCGAACACTGCCTATTGCCATAGGACATATTTAGTTTAGCTTAAGTGTTATATAATTAGGGTTTCGGGTATTTCTTAATATTATTTTTATACTTAATCTGGTATAGAATCTAAGTTTTTGAATGAAGCATTGAACATAAAAATTACATTATGAATAAAGGTAAAAGTTGTAGAAAATATGAGGATGAAACTTCTGAAAACAGTTACCTTTTTGTTTATGAATGAAACGAATGTGATAATAGACATCAAAAACGTAACACATTGTGCGTAGATTGACAGCATTAACATGTTTTTAAATACATTTGCATTGGCTTTTGAGCCGGATAATTCATAAGAGTTGAGAACTATATAAACACTGAAAAGCATATTGATAAAGCTGAATATGAAGAAACTCAAAAGCATTCTACCGTAACCTAGAGTGAACATTTTTAACAAATCACACAGTTCAGCGTGTAACAGCGGCGTGTTTTCCATTAAAATAACAATTTCGATGTGTGTCCATTGGTCGGAGAAGGGGACTAAGTCGGCCGGTAGACATTTCCAAAGATCGTTTAACGTTTGGAATCTGACATACACATTTTGAAGAAAGAAACACAAAGATATCACAACTACATAATCCATAGCATAAGGTATAGTGAATAATACATGGTGTATCAATAATTCAATAGTTATAGTTTTCAAGGGACCAAAATGCAACTGTAAAATTTTAAATCCAATAAAGTATGCAAATAATGAAACAAAAATTGTATTCCATTGTATTTTTTTCCATGAACGTTGAGGGATCAACAAATGTGATAAAAGTGGATCAATTTTTTGGTCAAACTCGATAATTCCATTAATAAATCTAAAAACAAAAATAACGAAAAATAGGTATTAATGTTACCAATGATTACTATAATATGTTGCTCAGAGGTATTTAATTCGAGTAACTGCCACGGGAATTGAGAAAAAAATATTCATCTGAGTGTAAATTATGTTCTTCCTTATTTATGTCATGCCTATAGTAGGTACCTACCTACATTATTTGGGTATGAACTATGACTACATATAATATTATATTGTATAGTTGACAAAATGATTCAATCTTCAATTAAGAGTGTGGATTCTGTTGCTAACATATTAATCTTTATGTATGATACGTGCATGAACTTTAAAATAATCTGGGAAAATAAAAAAAAAATAAAAACTTTAGACAGAGTATGGTACTTGAAGTATTCAGTCATTTTCATTAATTGACACTGTTCAATCTTAATTTGAATTTCAGTACAATAGTATCATTTTTAATCGCTCCAAAAATAGAATATTGAATAAAATAATTTTTAGGTGCCTACCTATGCAATTTATTTTAAGAGGACGTGAGTGATACCCGCATGTTTTGTCTCCGTCTTAAAGTGCGTAACATAGCAAATTTTACCCACACTTGTAGCTCAGTTTACGATATGTAAAAAAAAAAAGCAATCTCGTGCCAGAATTTTACTATTTTTTACATTTAAATCGAGTTATGAGTATTTTAAAATGTAAATTATTTGTACATCTTAAAATAATCAAAACTAGCTTTAAAATAAAAAGGCCGCGAGGTTGCCAATATAGTAATATAAAAGATTTTACGAAGAGTTCACCTTAAATTTTAAACTAACGGAGCTACACATGTACTGCTGAGTGGTAAAATGTACCATGTCACGCACTTGTAAGACGGAGACAACACAAGAAGGTATCATGTCCTCTTAATTATTGAGGTATGCGATCTATTATAAAGCTACATATAGATTGTCCATTATATTATCAAAGCGTTTGTTTTTGGTTGCCCACACATTATTTTTTTCGGGCCAAAAACATAATTAAATTATTGCCTGTCGTATTAAACTGGTCCTCGGACAACACCATATAACAATGGATCTAAATATTTACTTGATTTCTCAAAACTAATATGTACTTTAATAGGCCAATGAGCATAGGCACAAATTGGGAGGGGGGGCTTGGGGGTGCTAAGCCGTAGCCCCTCCCCCCAAAAAACCTAGGTCATACAATTGTATTATGCTAAATTGCAATCGTCTGCATGCCTTTAATATATTCAGCCCCTCCAAATCAAAAGTTGAAATTGCGTCTAAGCCAATGAGACAAAAACATTGATAAGTTTATTTCATAAAACCTATAAAAGAGGCTAATGAATTCAAATTAGCATTCAAAATTTAAATTGAACTACTACCTAGGTGTATGTTTATTTTTCACTAGCTTATGGGTATAAATGCATGAAAGTCCGCCTTCAATTTTTTTTTTTTATATATACTTTATTTTGAAAACAAACAATCTGTTATTTATTTATTACAAAAAGCCCGTATGCAGAATATAAAATTTTAATTTTACAATTTTTATTGGTTTGGTTAAATTAAATACTAATTGTAGGTAGGTACCTATATGGTATAACGTATTTTGTAAAAACTTATCAATAATATGGATTTCTTTATTTTTTTTCTCTAATACTTTCACTAATACTTTGAGTATTCATTTTGAATTTTCAATATAAACTATAAACTTTAAAGTATCTCTCGACTCTAAGGCACTTGACATACTAAATCGCTACGTGATCGTAAATTGATAAGAGTACGTACCACTGTACCAGCCTTAAGATAAAATGTTCGTAAAATCATCGAGTAAAAAAAAAAATTCGTGTTTAAATATACCTGTATACCATATATGACAAATATATTAGATTTAATGTGTCATATTAACGCGTATCTACTATACAATAGGACGCAATCGGAACACGGAAAAGGTGGGCAAAATCCAAGCCTGGGCATAAAAGTTAAAAGTTAAGTTAAAAGTTAAGTTAATTTTAACTTTTAACTTAACTTTTTGAAAAATAATTTTCATTAACTTAATTTTTAACTTAACTTATTTTAATTGATATTGTAGTAAGCCAGTTACTACGAAACAAATACTACCAATTTCACGGGTGCATAGTTAGTTTAATATACTGTAGAACGGCCTAAAACATAGTTATTACAAGAAAGTGGTTAGGTCTCCTTACGTTGAATGTAGTGAGACAAAACCACTGAATACTCAGGACGAGGGGTTCAAAAATAAGCATATATAATATTTTACAGAAACACTGTACGCGACAAATGCAAGAGTAAAATGATTATTTTAATAATAATCATAGATTGGAAACGCAGTCAATCGTAAATGTGTGGGCTGGGATGATGAGCACACAAATCACATCCGTGAGAACCGAGATATCGTATATGTAGGCAAGGGGTACGGGGAACCTCATATATAAGGGAGCCCGAATCGGCCTGTATTCAGACGTGTACTACCACCCATTAGTGCAAGCACCTTCACGCCACTCTGTTGAATATTATTTGGACTTAGAAAAATTATCGAACATTATAAATAAAATTCACAATATATTACATCTGTCTTATCATTCATTGTCTACCACGACTACAACATCAAATAAAGTGTCTGCGACCTGCAAATAATAATAACCTGGGTGCCACTTATCTACTGTCAGTACTACGAAAGTAGGTACCAAGCATCCAGGCTTATTACACTGGCGCAGTCGGTACAGGAGGTTCAGGGAGCTAGAGACGAGGCGAGCAGTCAAGGCGGCGGAGTTAATTTCCAAAGGCGAGTCGAGCAGTCAAGGTAGCGGATTTCAACTTCAAAGGCGAGTCCAGCAGTCAAGGCGGCTACATTCAACTTCGGAGATCCAGTCCCGACGCAGCGGCTACACCACGTCAGCAGCTCCACGGAGGTACAGTCGAGGTCTGATCAACCAAGGCGACTCCGGAATCAACGGACAAATTCTAGACGGGCCAGCAGACAATCGAGGGAAAAATGAACACAGCAGTGGCAACAGCGTTATTGTGAGTATATTAATTAAGTGAAGATAGATAATTAAATTAGAATTGTATAGCTTGAAGTGCACGTCTCACGTTGATTCATATAAATCAACGTTTATTTTATACTTGGTGGTGGTGTAAAATATTAGGGAAAAATATTCGAATAAAAATAAATAAGGAAAAAAAATAGGAAACAAGCTTGGGAAGAACTATATACGTATTTTTGATAGACAGCTGTAGACTGATCTAGGATTTTTATGGTAAATAGACGGCAAGGACCGATCTGAGATTTTTTTTTTGTGATAGGCAGCAGGGACTGACCTAAGTATTTTATGGTATTTTATAATAGACAGCAGGGACTGATCTAAGAATTTTATGGTATTTTTTGTGATAGGCAGCAGGGACTGACCTAAGTAATTTATGATATTTTGTGATAGACAGCGGAGACTGATCTAATAAATTAAAAGTAGACGGCGATAGGCTGATCTAAGGAATTGATGCACGCGCGTAGCATTTTTAAATTATACATGGGAATAATTAATTAAAGGAAAATATTGAATTTTTGAATTGAAATATAGAATGATAGATAATTGTTGAAGGAAATTAATTGATATACATTGAAGAAAATAGATTTTTTGAATTAAAAGGCAGTAGATGACCTTATTAAAGTAATTGACGTCAAATTTTGAAAAGTTTTGAAAAGAAAAAAAGAATTAATTATAGGGGCCCTAGGATAAGAATTAGTATAATATTACTAAAAATAAGTTAATAGAATAATAATTAAAAAGTTATTTTGTCTGGTTAAATTAAATTGATAAAGCGCGTAAAATAGGAAATTAAATCATATAGAGAAATATATTAGTAATAAGAAAAATAAGGGATAGGAAGTCGAATATTATTAAAGGGATTTACGGAGTAGCTAACCGAGAGTTGTTTTATTTTATAATATTCGAGCGTAGTACGAGCGCGTACGTAAAAAACATCGCGGAGCAGGGCGAGGGAAACGAGTGAGGAACACCGTATCGAAATTTAACAAGCGTAGCATAGGCGGTCGAACGTTTTACGTGTTATTAGATAGGTACTCATCCATTTCAACGTACGACGCGCGTTTACGTAAATTCTTTTTATTATTTGTGCATGATAGTTATTTTATAAGTAGTAAATTTTAAGTATTATTAATTTTGGTGACGGTAGTTACGTATTAATAATTTATAATTAATAATAGTATATATATGTAGAGTAAACACTGTTGGTAATTACTTACGCGGATAGGAAATTAATAATTTAGTAGATATAATTTATTGAAATTATATATATGTAATGTCTAGATAAATATATGTCAGAATCCGATAGTTCAGATATTGACACTAGTTCTACGGACAGTTCAATAAAAGTAAAAAAATATAAAACTAGGAAAGAAATAAAAGCGGAAATTTTAAAAGACGCTGTAAAGAAAGAATTTTTAGAAAAAACTAGGAAACAAGCAACTAAAACTGAAAAAATTGTTAAGGAAAAATTAGTAAGAACACATAGTTTAACAGAACAAATAGGTACCACGCCACGAAAACAAACCGTAGGACGTTTAGGTACTAGGTCAGATTCAAGCGTAGTTCACGTGCAGTTAGAATCAGTAGTTAAGAAAAAAATGAGTAAAATGGATTTAGATAAAGCAATTGCTATGATACCTATTTGCACGGGCAAAAAGGACGTAGCCGAATTTATAAATATTTGTGAAATCGCAATTAAGGAGACAACGGATGCAGAAATACCGATATTATT